TTATTTTCATTATACAGCTCTAAATAATTTGGAGGTTTCTGGGGCCACACATACATCCTTAGAGCAAAAGTGCAGATGTGAGTGCATGGGGGACCCTCCTCAGCCAGTGGGCAGGGCTGTAGGAATAGAAGTGAGGTACAGTGCACAGGTCCGATGTCAGAGCTGGCTGGCTGGGCTCCGGGGCCCACGGGCAGGTTCTAGCTCAGCCCGCACAACTTAGCAATTTAGAGAGAACTTATTTCAGAATAAAAAATAAAAAAGGGCTGAGATGCAGCTCAGTGTGAAGGGCCCGGGTTCAATCCCCAGCACTGAAGAGGAGAAGGAGGGTGCATGCAGTGGACACTTTCTCTGAGACTCCCTGAGTATGAGACAACTTCTTCATTTATTCGCTTTTCCATTTGCTCATTTGACAAATTTATTTATTTATTTTTCAGGTAGGGTCTCAGCCTGTAGCCCAGGCTGGCCTTGAACTTGCAGCAATCCTCGCGCCTTAGCCTCCTGAGTGCTGGGAGCATCTCTGAGCATCTCTGGTGAACTCGACATTGTCCTGCATGCTGGGAAGGCAGAGACACTTCTGGGCCACCCTGGACCAAGGCACAGTAGCTGTGAAGATCCTGAATCTGGCCAGCAGGCTGGTTCCGTGCAATGGTATTGCTCCCAGCTGTGTGGCCCAGGCAAGCTATGGCACTGCCTGTGCCTCTGTTTCTCCATCTGTGCAGTTGGTGACCTCCATTCCCATTTCACAGTGTTGTGCTAAGGAGGAAAAGGGCTCAGATGTTCAAAGCCCTGCCTAAGACCCAAGAGCTTAGCAATGGGCTAAATGTAACACATGCTCCAGTGCACCGACAGAGGGCATGCGGCACCATGGCTGTGATCAGGAAGTGTAAGGGCAGGATGAATATTTGACCATGTTTTTCTTAGCATCTAATCATTAGAAGACAAACCAACCCAGAATGGTTAAATGAAAACAAACTTGTCACAGTGAAAGAGACATTGTGAGAAATCCCCCTCATAATCCTCTGCTTGGCTTTGAGCACACCCACTGTCCTTGCCACTTTCTGCAGCAGGTCCGGAGTCCTCTTTCTTGAGGGTCTTTAGCTGTGCTGTCCTGGATGCCTCCATGTCCTGGATTCAAACCTCTCCCTTTCATGGTCGTTATGACTTTGGAGAAGAGCCAGAGGTCACATGGTGCCAGATCCCATGATTAAGGTGGATGAGGATACAGCATCGTGTTTTTATGAGCTGTCTTTCCAGGGAAGGGCTCTGGACAGTAGTAGCATTCCCTGTACTTTTGATCCCACCTGGAAAGACATTCAGGAAAGAGGACTCCAGAGCTGCTGCAGAAAGTGGCAAGGATAATGGGATGAGTGTGTTTGAAACAAAAGGAGGAGTTTGAGAGGATTCATGGCCGTGTGTCTTACTGTATTACATTTTGTTCATCTAAACATTCACTGTATTTTGATTGCATCTGGTATTTAACCACAGGCACAGCGGGAATCCAAGAAATGGAGTAGGGCAGGTGCCCTCCAATGGCAAAGCTGGGGCCAGGCAGAGGGTGCAGATTGGGCCCTTGTCCCCACACCAGGCCCGGCAGAGAGCCCTACAGCACTGTGAGCCACGCACAGGATGAGGACATGGGTGCAAAGCAGGGACTCTGGAGCCTGTGCCAAGCCACACACACATTCTTCCCACAGGGAGCAGAGTTGCTGGCTCCTTGCTGCGCCTCTGGGTGGTGGAAGGACTGCCTGGGCCCACAGGGACCCCATCGGGCTCTCAGTGGACCTCGGTGACAGATGTGCACGCAGGGACTGGGGGCTGTCCTCGAGCATCTGCCATTGATGTTCATATCTCAGTCACTGTCCTATTGCTGGGCACAGCCCCTGATACCCACACCTTAGAGGAAGAGAATGTAATTTGGCTCATGGTTACAGCTGGTTCAGTCGATGGGAGGTGTCCTAGGCAGGAACATCACGGTGGAAGGGCCTGGGAAAGCTGCTCACCTCATGGCCACCAGGGGGCAGACAGAGAAGGGAGGGGCTGGGGACAAGAACACACCCTTCCAGGTCACACCCCAGTGACCACCTTCAGCCAGGCCCCACCTCCTACAGGACATTCAGCTCTGAACTCATCCATGATAGATCCACCGATGAGCACAGAGCCTGTGATCTATCACCTTCCAAAGTCACAGCTGTGAACACAGGAGACTCTGGGGGACATCTAGGTCTATACTATAACACTGGCCTAGGAAACCACCTGTTTTGGGTGGCACCAGGCAGAGCTGGCCACGTACGCTCCTGAAAAGAAGTTGTCTGCAGGACTGGATGCTGCGCACCCTGCTCCCACCTGAGTCCCCAGGGCCTGAAGTAAACTTCACAATGAACAATCACACCCAGAAGCCCAAACCCAGGATGCCATGGATCCTGGGATGAGAGATATGCTGCAGTCTGTGCCCGGACTTGGGAGCATGCCTCTAGTGTGCCTTCCCTCCTTAGGGCAGGTGCGCCTGCTGGGCTGAACAGAGATGGGTCCCAGGCCCACACAGACACGGCCCAGGGAGCATAGGTGGCCACGTTCTCCATTCTGCCCACGAGCAGCACTCATCCCCAGGCTGCACAGGAGCAGTTTCCAGCCCAGGCCCCACACTGCCTGGCCCTGTGCTGTTCAGCCCGAATCCCTCTGGTAGGTCCCACGGTACCAGCCAGGCCAGGGCAGAGCAGCACACTGCAGGGCTCTTCTCCACCTGAAGCAAAATGTGAGGTTCACAGCTGTGGAAGCCTGCTTCTGCCCTGGGGAGGAGAGCTGACCTTTGCCTATCCTCAATGAGGACAAAGTCTGGTGGTGAGAAGCAGTGGGCAGGAGGACCAAGGGGCAACGGTGGGAGGGGTCCAGGAGTCACACCGGAAGGCCGGGTCCCCTGCCCAGCTCAGCTGTGATTGGCCCTGTGATCTCTTTCCTCCATCTGTATCTTTTTTAAAATTATTTTTTGGTAGTAAGAGCTGAACCTAGGGCCTTTGCACTGAGCTCCATCCTCAGACCTTTTTTATTTTTTGAGACAGGTCTCACCAAGCTGCCCTAGCCTGGGCTGGAACTTGTCTTCTTCCTGCCTCAGCCTCTCAGAGGGCTGAGATGAGGATTTGTTTTGAGAGTCCAAGGCTGAGAATGAATGTTTGCAGAAAGACCATGAACCACCACCCTGGCCCCAAGCCTGGGGTGGTGGCGACTGGGCCCATGGAAGCTGGGAGCCTGTCAGGCACTGTACCCAGCCTCTGCCCTATGAGGCCATCTCATAAGTGGGGGGGTGGGGGATAAGATGCAGTGGGGGCCCTCTCTGGTAAAGCCTGAGTCTGTGGCCAGCCCCACTGACAGGCCTGGGCAGAGCAGCATCACCATGGCAACCCCACAGGGGGTCCAGGAAGCTTTTCCCTCCTTTTTAGCAGCAAGAAAGGTCGCAGGGCAGGAGGAGGTCACCTGAGGATGCTGTCTCTGCTGCCCAGGCCTCCCCTGCCCCAACCGGCCTTTGCTGTCCACACCATTGCTGTTTCTGAGGTCTCTGAGCCCCAGCCTTGCCGCCACCCCCGTCCTGATGGCAGGGACAGCTCCCCCTGCTCAGGCCCGGCCGTGACCATGCACTGCGGGCTGTAGGGGCCGTGTGCTCTCCGGGCAGAGTCATCTGCAGACGGAGACACACAGAGCAGGCTGGCTGGTAAAGAGAGAGACCTGGGCGCAGTGACTCTGCCTCTAATCCTGCCACTCTGGGAGGCTGGGGCAGGAGGGCTGCCATAGAAAGCTCACAGAGGGACATGGAAACAACCAAAGCTGCCACCCAGGGCAGGCTGCAGCATGAGACGACTTTGGTAGAGGCCAGGGATGGGCCAGAGCCGTGAACGGTGTCTTGGGGGAGGCTCGCCCAGGTGGCCCTGAAATGTCCCTCCCCTGACTCCTGCTGCCTGCCAAGGGAGTCTTCCCAGTCACTGCCTGGGCGGAGTTGGGCTGGCGCAGCTGGGCACGCTGAGCTGCTGGGGGGATTAGAATTTCTGGCACCTGTGTCAGACCACCACAGCTGAGCAGATCTTTTCTCGTTTCTTTTCCTTCTTGGGGTTGTAGTACTCATGGCCTCTGCACTGAGCTACAACTCTAGACCTTCTGACTTTTCTGAAAGAGTTCTAAGTTGCTAAATTGTACAGGGTGGGCTCAAACCTGCAATCCTCCTGCCTCAGCCTCCCAAGAGTGCTGGGATTACATGGGTGTACCACTATGCCCAGCTCAGATCTTTTTTCTAAAAGGGAGAATTAGTTCTGCAGGTCAGGATGATAAAACTCCCACCTTCATAGGAAGTTAACGCCACAGTTTCAGATAACTTTTCTTTTGCCTACAAGATCTTGGCTACATAGTAGACCCTTCACTTATGAACTCAATCCATTCGTTCATGAGGGCTGCTTGTAACTCAAGCTGGTTGTAAATCAAGACTATACTTCCCATAAGAAATAATGGAAATAGCCACAATGTGTTCCAAACCTCCCAAAGCACCTCTTAACTAACCTTTTCATGATAAAAAGAGTTGTATAACGTGTGTAATTTACAGGAAACACCAGTAATTTTCCTAGTGTATTCCTTTGATCCTGCCTTGCACTAAGCTACATCCTCAAGCCTTTTTATTTTTAGATGGTCTCTCGCTAAATTGCCCAGGCTGGGCTAGAACTTGGAATCCTCCTGCCTCAGCCTTCTAGACTGCTGGGAATACAGGTGTGACCACCATGCCTGTTTTTCTAATTTGAGACTTGAACCCAGGCGCAGCCTCCCTCCACCCACAGCATCGATGGCCAGTCCTCATCCTCTCCCTTGCACACAGCCCACCACTGCGTATTTCATTTTCTGCAACACGTCTTGGAATCTGTGTTATGTGTATTCCCTCCACACAAGACAGAGGCAAAAAGAAAATGGGAAAAAACCATCAGCCGCCAGGAGTACATGCTAATGGAGCAAGGTCAGGAGACGCTGGCTGGATGCTGGCAGATGCTTGGCTTTATTTGCAGTGCTAGGAATGGAGACCCTCAGTGGGGCAGCCCGCATCTCCTCCCTCACCCCACAGCTGCCCAGTGCCCAGGGCAGCACGGAAAGTCCTCAAGGCCCGGTGTGTCCCCCGTGCAGCCAGCAGGAGCGACCCTGCCTCGGCCTCGTGGCCAGCCCCCCAGAGCTGTGCAGCCAGCTGTTCCGCGTCCCAGTGGCCCTGTGCAGCCAGCAGGTGGCAGATGAGGCGCGGGTAGAAGGGGGTGGAGACGCAGGGCACCAGCAGCCCGGTGTCCAGCAGCAGGGACAGCAGCTCAGGATCGCAGTTGGAGTCATCCACCTGCAAGACACAGACGGGCAGCAGTGAGCAGCACCTGTGGGACCCCACTCCTGCCCCTGCCTCAGTGCACACCAGGATAGCCAGAACTCCTGCCAACCCTCCTGCCTCAGCCTCCCAGAGGGCACGAACCACCACACCCAGGGCTTGTTTTTTTCCAAGGTAAGGAGACATCTCTTAAGAACACTGCCTGAATCACCACGGGAGGAAGCAGTGGCTGAGCTCTGCGAGGGCCAGGTAGGAAGCCAGGGAACTGGACTGTGTCAGGCAACCACATCCAACACCTCACAGGTCCGGTTCTTTAACCCCCATTCTCACTGGAGTGCAGACCCACAGGGAACAAGATCTCCTGAACAGGAGAACTTCTACTCCACAGAGGAAGAATGTGTCCCGCAGCCACTGACCAAGCAAGGTGACTGCAGAGGGCCTGGACTGTCTCTGCTGAGGCCTCCAGAACTCAGTGCCAGCCCAATCCTGACATGGCATCTGCGACCCTGGGCTCATGGAGTCCGGGGCTGCCTCTATGTGTGGCTCCCACAGCCCTGCAGTTCACACGCTGTCTGTGCTGTGTAAGGAATCAAGCTCCCATTTACACCTGGTGCCATGAAGCGGCTCAGCTGCTTCTTCCTGTCACCTTGATCACAGGAACTTCGAGACGCCACTGCTGCCACCTTGCAGAGCCAGCTCACTGCTGTGCAGACCAACTGTGGCCTGTGCAAGCCCATGACGGGCAGAGAGCTGACCAGGATCACAGCAGCTGCAAGGCTGAGAACAAGAGCCCTGCACCTGCAGTGGCCATGATTTGCTGCATGAAGTTTCTCAGTTTTAACCACCAAAAAAGTTTCTATTGCTTCATGATGTGCCCTGAATCGGTTTGCATGTCTGCAATAAGCAGACGGCGAGTCCAGGACTGGTTGGTTGAGTGCCCTCAATCAAGCCCCGCACTGAGCTCGGTCTGCAGGTGGGAAGAGGAGACAGGCTTGGGGAGGAAGGTGACTTCCCAGCCCAGCTCCTTCGGAGGATAGATGGTGACCTTGTTAGGACAGTGGCTTGGTGCAAGGCCCTGTCCCAGAGACAGGAGACTTCAAGTGGAGGAGGCAAGGCCGTGGAGGGCTGCACCGTGCTGAGCAGGAGCAACGGTTCGCAAGCTGGCATGGAGGGAGCACCTGTCGCCCTCAGAGCCAGGGTTTCTTTGCTTGTCCGCCATCAGACGGGGAGGGGAATAACCACAACTCCGCAGGCAGGGGAGGAAATCTATTCATGCATAAAGAGCTCCTGTCTTCCAAGCCATTAAAATATTATCTGCTTAATTCTTCTCTCAACAATAGGTAATGAACCTTCTCTGAATTAAATCTTTGATTTTATGGATCTGCACCAAGCTAAGGGTAATTACAATAACGAGGAAAGCAGTCGTGGAAACTACTTTAAAGAAAGCACTGGGTATGATTTCAGGGTTTTACCTTAGGACTGCTATTGGCCTTATTTTTACATACATAATTACCTAATCAAATTATTAAAGTATGAACCACAGTGGCTAGTCAGTACTTGGGACGAGAAGGCCTGCGGGTGATTTTCTGGATTCTGGATTCTTTGGGTACAATGGTCAGAGCACATATTTTCAGCGAGTCCAGGTCCCATTTTGGACACATCTCCTGAGACCAGACTTAGGTCACCTGGTTTACAACTCAACAGCAAAGCGGCAGAGGACCCAGGCTCGGTTGCCTCTGTGACGGCTACCCCCGCTGGACTCAGGGCCCTGTGCCTGGCCAGCCCTGCACTCGCAGCCTCCTGGCAGCCTCGCCTTTCGGCACATGGAAGGAAGGGTGTTTCCTTCCCTTTCCCTCACCCACTATGGGTCCCCTCGAGATCCACTCACAGCATAGGCAGAAGGAGGGGAGAGGCCACTCCTCCACCCGGAGGGTCCCTGAGCTCTGATCACACTTGGCTAAGCAGCACTGTGGCACGTGCCTTCCACGAGGAGCCCGGGACAAACAGAAATTTTGCTTCTGCAAAATTGCCTCTACAGGGCAATTCTAGAAAATGCCTTTAGTGTTTACATTCAGATTCTTAGCACCAAACAAAGCTAGTTCATGGGCGAGGCTTAGTGAGTGTTTGTAAAACAAGTAAGGATGCACTCCTTGCCCAGACACAGGTACTGTGCTCAAGGATCTGCAGTTGAAGTTACTAGGGTTTTTTCTGTTTTTTGAGAGAGGGTCTCTCTAGGTGGATTGTGGAGGGCCAACTGGCGACTCTCCCTGAAAGAAGAGCAATCATCTCCATTTTGGCTAAGTCTGGCCCTATTCCCATGTGTTGACTGGTATGTGCAGAGCTGGCGAAGTTTTGCCTTTATCCCCTCAATTGGCTTTAAGCAGTGCAAATGGGTCCAGCAAAGGTGCTGAGGTGCAGTCTTTGAAACAAGGTGACAGGGCAGTGTTGTCCCACCAGTAGCTCCCAAGAAGCCTGTGTGAGCTAGGCTGTGTGTAGCCACACTGTGCGTTGAGATATGGGGCTATGACTTCCCAGGGCATAAAAGATTACACATCAGAGCTCAAGCACCGAACCAAAACCATTAGATACTGCCCCGAATTGTGTCATGCAGATTACTCTTTCTGCATCTCCTTCTCCCTGCAGATTGCAGAGGTGATTTCAGGTCTCCGACCTAGCCCAGTTCACAGCGCTCATGTACTTCCCACCTCTCTTACAGTCACCCATCCCCAAGCCACTCCCTGCCTTCTTCAAGAATTAATAAAACCTGGGTTCGACCTTGGGTCAAGGCCTTTCTTCCAGATGGCCATCATTTTGCTGAGCCCCTTGGCTCCCCACAACTATAAATATGGCTTAGTGTCTTTATTCTCGCCATGTGTTGCACTGGAAGTGACAGACTGGAATTAGCTTATTAAAATTCCAATAACTTTTCCATGGGATTACAAATGTGGATTTTTCAGGACCATGATGAGGTCTAGAAGGGCGTTCTATAGTAGATCAGACTATCCTTGAACTCACAGTGATCCTCTTGCCTCAGCCTCCCTTCCAAGTGCTGGGACAACAGGTATGTACCACCACTGCAGGCAAAGTTGTTCTGCAAAGGGCAGTGCCCATCCACACCCTGGACAGAAGCCCACCCACAGCAAGCATGTTTGCCCAGCCCTACCTGCGTGACAGCAGTGACCTGCTCCAGGGCCAGGGGCCGTAGCTCTGGCTCTGGGTGCTCCAGCAGCAGCTTCAGGGACGGCAGGGGCAGTCCCTGGTCACGCAGCAGCAGGCACAGCTCCTTCACGCCCTGGAAGACACGGGAGGGTGAGCAGGCAGCACCTTCGTGCTGCCACACTGGCTGCAATACACGTGTAATGCACACTTGTAACCACACTGTGGTCACTTTGGGCCATGAAGGGCCACGCAGCTTAGAATTCATCTTCCTACGCACCCGAGCCCTGGCCTCCAACAGGTGGCTGAAATCCTGCGCCACCTTTCTGTTGCATCTGCACAGGTGTGTGTGGGACTCGGTTAATGGGCATAACACCTGTGGGACAAGGACACAATAGGGGACAAGTGACCAAAGCTGACAGCCGTCACACACAGACACGGAGGGAAGCACCAGACAACGTACTTCAAATGTGTTCACACGGCCAGTGTCAGGGTACACACCCGGGACACCCCATTTCCATGGAATCTATCTGTGGCAGGGAGCCATGAAAATGTGTGGCTCTCCACAGGGGCACCTGAATCTTACTCACAGCCTTTTATTACTCAGACAGAATCTGCTGTTGAAGAACAGGCCTTTTAAAAAGGTAAGAAATGCTAGCTCTCTGCAACGAAAGTAGAATGCATGTAACAAACACATCAAAGAGAAGACTGGGAGCGGTTTTGCGGGCTGAGCTGGCCACCTGGGGCACCTGACCCTGGCAGGAACACAGTGCGGGGACTCAGGACCAGACACGGGCTGTGGCGAGGCGGGATGGAGGCTTCAGTTCTCTCAGGGCTGAGCTTTCTCCTGCGCTACTCCACCAGCAGCAGGTGGCCAAGCAATTCAAATACACGCTATCTCCAATAATCCCTTCACATTATTATAAAGCAAAGACAAAACAGGACGCCAGGTGGTGGGTGGCCCACGGAGGCCCGGGGTGCTGCACTCACTGCAGTTCCCCGCACTACAGTCTCCACAGCCCCCCGCTCAGCCATCCTGGCGATGAGATCAGCTCTGGGTGTGTCTGTAGAGCGCTACTCCCCCACAGGGGCTGAGAGACAAGCTTGTTGTTTATGGGGTGGTGACAACACCTGCCACGAACATTTGGGAAGACAAAACGAACTCCCAAGCTCAGCTCTCTGGCCTGGCTGCCACGCCTGACTTGCTTCCTGTGACCTCATCCTCCCATAGCTTTTTTATTTCTTCATTTTGTGGTACGGGGGATTAAACCCAGGGCCTTGGCACTGAGCTGCACCCCAGCCCTTTTTAGTTTTTATTTTGAGACAAGATCTCCCTAAGTCACTCAGTTGCCCAGGCTGGCCTAGAACTTGCAATCCTCCTGCCTCGGCCTCCAAGAGTACAGGCAGTGCCAGCACAACAGCCTCTCTGGAGGCCACAGCGACGGTGCAGGGACCGTGTGCCCATGGAAGCACCCACACCAGCTCTGCCCAATGCCGCAGGCTCAGCCACACTTGCCAGGCACCTGTGCACCTGTGGAACTGCTATCTTTTTTTTTTTTAATTTTTGGTCCTGGGGCTGGCGCTAGGTGTCCTGTGTGCTAGGCAAGACCTTGTGCACCCAGCCCCAACTGCTTTTTAAATTTTAGCCTCACAGCGCCGCCCATGTGGGTGCTCTCACCTTCTCTGGAGGGGACTCATCGCTACCTGTCCTTTAAAACAAGGCGTAAGGAGGCGTAAGGCACCCCACTGCCAAGCGGCAAGGGAGGACAGCCCTGCCTGTGCCAGAGCGCACTCCTGCCCCTACTGTGAGGCCCTGTCCACCCCAGATCTGCCCTGGTTCAGCAGGTGGCGCTCCTGGGGCAAGGATGCTGCTGCTGCACTGGACCCCACGCTTGCTGGAACAAACAGAACCTGAAGTACTCGCGCGCAATGCCCTCTCGTAGCCCTAGTATCTGCTAACTCACTCCATTACCCGTGATCTGTAAAGGAGTATTTCTCAGCAATGCATGATCTTTACACTCAGCACAGCCCTGGGCGACCCTGGGTCCCGTGAGAGGTGTGAGGGAAAGGCCCTGTGCCCCGCAGAGGGGTAAAGGACAGGAGGGCAGGGCAGGCCCCGGATGCAAACTTGCCTGCTGCAGAGCTCTGCCCGGGAGCGGCCCACAGGTGTCCTTGCATGGCTGCCCTTCACTCCACATTACCTGGTGGGCCTTCACCGGCCTTGGCTTGAGCGGGTGCCCCTCACGCAGCCCTGGGTGGCAAAGACTGCTCCCCGCCAGCTCCGCCAGCCCTGGCCCACTCACCTCCGCGGGCAGCACCTGCTGGGTGTGGCGCAGAGAGCGGCACATCCTCAGGACCTCATTCCCCACGGCCTCCCTGCTCTGCGCCGGGCACCGGCTCAGCATCGCAGTCGCCAGTCTCAGCCATGGGCTCCTGGTCACGCCAGTTCTGACAGGAAGGCACAGGGTTAGCACTCTCCCCCACGCTAAGAGGCTTGCAACATGCAAGGGTCCACTGCGTGCACAAACGCTGCCGCAGAATTATGCGCGGGGGCTGGACAGGTGCTCTCTCCGGCCACGCCATGGCGTAGGGTAGAACAGCAGCTTACTGGCATCAGCAAGCAGCCCCGTGCCAGGGAAGTCCGGGTGACTCAGCCTCTGATTCTGGCCACTCCACTAAGTACGTTTAACACCAGGCACACCTTGCTGTTTGGTACACAAATCCTGGCTCTGAGCTGGGGGTGGTGGTACCTGCCTGTAATCCCAACACTCTGGGAGGCTGAGGCAGGAGGATGGCACATTTCAGCCCACCCTGGGCAACTTAGAGGCTAAAAGAGTGGCAGGGGCTCAGCTTAAGGGAAAAGGAAAATCATTGCCGAGCTTGCTCAGGTCTGTAGGGAGAAGGAAATGTTTCTGAAATTTTGAGGAAGGAAAAGAAATCAAAGCTAGTTTTTTTGTTTTGTTTTTAGTTTTTTAAAGAAAGAATCTTCCTATATGTTGCCCAGTCTGGTCCTAAACAACCCTCACGCCTCAGCCTTGCCAGGAGCAGGAACCTTAGGCAGGTACTACCATGCCCCTTTTTCCAGCCCAACAAGGTTTGTTTCTCATTTTTATATTTTTGAGGCAGGGTCTCGCTATGTAGTGCAGGCTGACCTTGAACTCACTATACTATGTATGCAGGCTGTCCTCATATATGTGATCTCCTGTCTCAGCCTCCGAGTGCTGGGCTGACACCCTTCCCCTCTGCCCCGTCTGTTTGTTTTGTTTTCTGTCTCTTTGCTGAGGGTGGGACCCAGGGCTCAGCCACGCTACCGCAGCCCATACTGCTGCATCCCCAGTGCAGCCCACAGCTCGCGGTCTGTGGGCACAGGCAGGAGGAACCCAGGGCACTGTGCTCCTGAGCTCTCGGCCCACGGCCCCACAGTGCAACCTGGCAAGGCTTCCTCCCTGGCTTCCTGAAGACGCTACCTTCTCATGAGGGAGGCCCCCATCGAGGCCCTTGCTCGTCTTCCTTCGGTACTCACGCGTGCTCGCTCTGCAGAGGGGGCCAGGCCTGCAAGAGCAGGGCCAGGTGCTGGAACTCGGCCTCACTGTGGCTGCACTCCAGGAGCTCCGTGAACAGGGCAGAGCGCTGTTCCCCGCTCTTGACGTCGGTGACAGCCACCTGCAAGGGGAAATGCACACCAGGGTGAAGAGGCCCAAGTGGGTTCCAGGAAGAACCCGTGCGTGAGCACTGTGATTACACATCCTTCTGGAAATGCTCACAATGTGCTGAGGCAGAACTCAGTAACACAAACAAAGCAAAAACCAGTCATTCTGGTGTGGACATTGTTTGGCAGGTACAGGTTTGAGTCTGGTTGCACAGCTGTCAGGTGGCGTGTAGGGTGGTGAGGAACACTGGGGGGCGCCGTCTGGGGCCCCAGAGTCACTAGGGTGGCCCTGGAATGGACTGCGTGACCTCAGTCCCCCACTGGCCCTTCCCTGATGCCCATGCCCCCACCAGGATGGACACGGCCTCATCAGAGCTGGACCAGTGCCAGCACCGTGCCCTGAGCCTCCAGTGCTGGAAGCTCCCCAAACTTCTTTGTGAAGTCTGACTCAGGTATCTCATCGTAGTCACAAAAAGCAGACTATCACACACACCTTCAAAAGATCTCGGTCTGCATTTACAGCTGCACAATTCATGAGGCAGCCTGTATGCCCATCAACAGACGCATGGATAAAGAAAATGTGGTGCCTGCACACCGTGGAGTACTACTCTGCCATAAAGAAGGATAAACTTGAGTTATCTGCAAGAAAATGGATGCACCTTGAGACCATAATTAAGTGAAATAAATCAGAGAAACAAGATTCAATATCACATAGTTGGTCTTATATGAGAAAGTATAAATAAAAAGCAAAATAAAAGATAACAGGAAGATGAATCTCTGTCAAACCAAGAGGTGGAGGAGTAGCAATGGGGGAGGAAGGGGTGGAAAAGGAACGAAGTTGTGTGCTCTGCACGCATCAGCTCTACCGGGAAACACTACTGTGCGCGCACACACAGACTAACCAATGTTTTAAAAATGCTTACCATCTAGGTCTAACTCAATTTCCAACAATTGTATTAAAACTGTTTAGAATTACTAACCTCAGGACAGCTTTTAATGTTCTTTACCAAAATAAATTCAGATTAAACAATTAGACTTCCACATAACTGGCTTAATGGTATTCAACACATCATGTTAAAATATGGAATTGTTTTATTTGAAATTGCAACATTTTACCATATTCCCCATCAAGTGAATTTTTAAAAATTGAAATCCAAAATTAGTGTCTAGCCGGGCGTGGTGGCACATGCCTGTAATCCCAGCACTCAGGGGGGCTGAGGCAGGAGGATCATTTCGAGTTCAAGACCAACCTGGGCTACAAAGTGAGCTCAAGGCCAGCCTGAGCTGCATATCAAAACCCTGTCTCAAAAAGACAAAAAAAAAAAAAAATTAGTTTCTAATTTTCATTGGAAAACTGCTAGCCTACATGTTGCCTAGAAATTTTTCATCTGAAATTGGAGATTTTACTAAAGTGCATTTGTCAGGTGATGTTTTTGCTATAAATCAAAATAAAGTATCTTCCCTCACATTTCCATTTCTACTGCAGAAGCCAAGTACAGAATACTCATAAGCCAAGTACAGAATACTCTCTGCATAAAGAACAATTTTCCTTTGCACTGTGCTCCTCACACAGAGGGCATTTCTGTGCCTCTCTGTGGTTTACGATGGAAAGCAGAGCTCAGTGTGAAGGGAACCGGTCTGCTTCTCGCTGCAGTCTCTCGCGACACAGTCTCTGTATCTGGCGTGCAGATGCTCGCACCAAGACAGAACTCGTGCTAATCCGTGGACGTGGACATCTGGAGGTCACCATGGCAGGGTAAGGGGGTGGGTGTGGCCTACAGATGCGCACTGTCTACACTGGCGCGTGCTTCCAAACATTTACTCTATAGTCATCCTGGCGCTGGTCCCAGGAAGCGACTGGTCACTGCGGGGTCACAAGGTGACTGCCATCCACCCGGCCCCAAGGAGCTGCAGCTCTGCTTACTCCTGAGCAAGGAGGAGGGGGAGAAGGCGGCTGCCCCACTGTTCCTGGGCGGACACTTCTTGCTGGCGACCTCACTCATGCAGAGGAAATGGCTTGGTGTCCCTGTGGCAGGGCTCGAAAGTGGCAACAGGGCAGGACAACAACCTGGTCGGGATGTCCTGGCCCTCACCATTCAGGCATCGACGTCATAGGTGAAGGCTCTGTGTCCCTGTGGTGCCACCAGCGGAAGGCCGCCTGGACTGGGGCCAGGGCTTTAGCCTGTCACTCCACCCACCCTCACCACAACCGCATGTTTCCTCTCTGCCCACATGGACACAGAGGCTGCGAGGCCCCGCCGGCTTTCCCAGCTGAGCAGTGGTGCTGGGATTTGGGTCCAGTGTTGCACAGCCAAAGCGCTCACTCCGGTAATGAGGAGCAGCCTTGGCTGCCTCACGCACCTCAAGAGTCTCTGGGGACTATTCCACACTGCTGCGTGAGAACAGCTTATCAGGCACCACACCTTTCAACACTTGGGCTGAGCAGCAGTGACACGGCCAGCTCCGCGCTGACTGTGACCAAGGAGGGAGGCAGAAGCCGCCGCTCCAACTCCCACTTCTCGTGTCCACTCACACTCAGTCCCGCAAAGCCACCGTGGGAGAGGGTCACTGCTCCGTGAGGGGAGGGCAGAGCAGAGAGGAATACAAACGATGAGGGTGTGAGGTCACTCTTCCAAGTCCGAGACCCCTGGGAGACAGACTTTCTGGAGTCTGAGGGTTTCATCCACCACAAGAAAAGCCCTGGTGAAAAGACTTTGTACAGACTAGAGGAGTAAGAGAGACGGCCTGCACCAGGACACAGGCAAGGCGCTCAGGAAGTGCACGAGAAAGGAAGCTTGGTAAGATAGGCTTGGCTGCCTTAAGTGCTGTTTCCAGAAAAAGTGAAGCTACAGAGAAACTATAATCTCAGAGATACTCAGAAACCATTGAGATCACGGGCTGGGAATATAGCTCAGCGGCACAGCGCCTGCCTGGCAAACGCAAGGTCCTGAGTTCAATTCCTTGCACTAAATAAATAAATAAATAAACCATTGAGATCATAGAAAACATGGACACCACGGACCATGGAAAAAGGCTTAAAACCAGAGTTTGGGCCCAGGGGTTGAGTATGTGTTCCACAGCTTTGACGAGCGAGACAGGTCAGATGCTGCTTTTTCCCTGGCTTCCACTGGCTCCCAATATTTTCAGTCCACAGAACTGCACAACACAAAGTGAGACACCAGCCTCGTGATCCTGGCTCCAGTGACCAGGGGAGAAGAAACCGAATGAGGCTAAGCCCTTGAAAAATAACTCTGTGTTAAGAAGGCTCCCAGTGTGGTAGGGTTCGCCTGCTTCAGGGTAAGTCAGGACTGGGAGCTCCGAAGTGGGGTGAGTGAAGGCTCCCCTGGGGAGCTACGCCAGCCTCTGCACCTGCTGAGAAAATGTGCACACACACACACAGACACACACACACACACACCCTTCTCCTAAGCACATGCATGTGCTTTATACTGTGGCATCTGTGTTCTCAGGCTGCTCCTTGGCAGGCCCTGAGTGACCTCCCAAGCCTGGATACAGCACTTAGTGAGAGTATATTTTAGATAGCAGTGGCTCTTTCATTATAATTCATTTCTGCAATCTTCCAAGACTAAACAATTGTTGATAAATCCATCTTTTTTAGCCTCTCAGTTTCTGTAGCTCTGAAGAATAAATAATAGTATTTACCTTTTTTACTTCATAGAAGGAAATATAAAAACAGAAGATAATTATGGGTGCTGAAGCATTTGACTCAGGGTGCCAACTCTTGGATCTTGTCAGCCCTAGCTACTTCTCTCATTGCTGAGAGAAAATACCTAGCATCCACAAGTTAAAGGTCAGCTCATACTTTGCTCATACTTTTCAGATGGATCTAAGGCAGGTGGCATGAGAGAGTGGTATCACAGAGGAGAAACAGTTCATAGCAAGGCAGGCAGGAGGCAGCAAGCAGCCAGCCTCCCTTTCCCTTTTATCCCATGCAGGCTACAAGCCTATTGGTTGGTGCCAGTGGGGCTTCCATTATCCATACCCAGAATTATGCTAAACCAATCAGTGCACCAATTTAGCTATTACAAACGCTAATCCACATTCATACACCCAGATCCAGCCACTTCTGAAAAGCCCCTCTATGAGTGCATGAGGTTTTGGGGGATGTCTAGACACAAGCGACAGCACTATCCTTCGGGTGTACTTGTTTGCAATGTAAGCCAAACTTCAACAAGCACAGCCTTTCTTTCCTTAAGGACTGGGTGTCCCATCTCCTCCAGTGACACGTATTTAAGCTTTGCACATAGCCACAGGGGACTCAGAGGGTTCAGAAGGAAGTCCATCCTCCTGCTCCTGAGCGCTCATGATAGAAGATTTCGTAGATAATTACAGTTCCCGTGTACAGAAGTCACAGTTCGGTGATGCCTGCAAGGATCGGGGAGGACCTTGAGGAGGACAGAGGGCGGCACAGAGGAGACATGACATTACATCTCCCACAGCATCCACTGAGACACCGGAAGGAAGGCAAGCCCTTCGTGCTTGGCACAGTATGAAGCTGGCTGCCACAGGTAATGGATTTTGTAGACAGTCCTAGTGGCTATGATGACAAAAATCATAAATGCGTGTGGTGCGTGAGACATATTAGGACACATGTGCGTGATCAGACATACAAAGGAGACTTTACTTCCTGTACTCAGTTACGAACCTCTAATCAGTGCTGACCTATAATTACCATAATAGGGAAACTTTCTGGTGTTTTGTTTGTTTGGCCATACTGGGCACTGAACCCAAGACTTCCACATGGAGCTACATCTACTGGCCATTTTCCCAGACTAGACGTGAACTTGTGATCCCCCTGCCTCAGCCTCCCAGAGCACTGGGATGACGGGCGTGGGCCCCTCCTTACCTGCCTCCCAGGCCAGGCGGCTTTGAGGATGGCCTCTGTCCGGAAGAACACCAGCAGCCTGCTGTCCTCCTCCGTCAGGCAGAAGGACTGCTCCAAGACCTGCAGCACGTGGACACGGGGCTGCACGGGGAGTGCGTCGTCCGCACAGAAGGGCCTCAGCCACTCTAGTAAGTCCTCAGGGACAACCAGCTGCTCCCTGAGAGACAATAATGAAGGGAGAAAGTCTCAAGGCCTTGTCTAGTGTTTGAATGACTAGATACCTGCTTGCTGGATGACTTTATTTCTGCCCTGTTGAGAGGAAAAATTCAGGTTTTTAAATGGCTTACAGCCACAACATTGGGCATTTAACAACTGTGTAAATGAGTGTGATTTTACACAGTACCTATTAAAATCAGTTACATTAACCAGATAAATAACGAACATCAAACAGTATGTCCTCAGTTAGTGCATAAATAACGGCTATTTCTAGTCTACCCCAGTCATTTCACACATTCTATCATTGCAGCCATTGGACATTACATCCCTGGCCCAGGGAGGAGAGGTCGCCCACAAGTGGCTCCAGTAGGTGACGCTGTGTGACCCAAGGCCCACCTTCAAGAGCTGTGGTTAGGGTTCAGTCCATGATTGGAGTATCCAATTTCACACCACCCTAAAAATAAAATATGAACATCTGGCTATGACACGAGTGCGGTCTGAAGAGAGTTGAGGAAAGGCAAGGTGCACCGCTGCCCAGCCGGCACTGGCCTCCTTTCCTCTGTCCTGCGTGGGCCACCCAGGGAACTAACCCACTTGCGGATGCCACCTCAGGTTACATCTGTGTGTGGCGCAAAGGTTATCCACCTGGGGACCCAGCTAAGGCACTCCATCATCCTGGTTCGGTTGTAACCACACCTTCACAAGGCTGTCTGCAATAAACCCCCAAACCAAGTTCCAGACTAACTTACCTGAAACCAAATTCCTGCGCTAACAGAATACATGTTTCAGTGATGCAAAATACAAAATTCTATAATGCCCCGAGTATGTCTCTTAGCATATATTATGCAATATACTTGTCAAGTGGCTATTTTACAGCCATTTAAATTAAAAAACAAAAGGAAATTATAAAATGCAGACAACTGGCTGAAACACGAATTTACAAAGCCAGTTGTCAGGTTCTTGACATTTATCAAAACCTGGGAGCAATGGTATACAAGAAACACAGAAGGCACAAATATTTGCTGGGTTCATGCTACTTGCAAGGTGACCAGACAGCTGGAGTCACGGGAGGCCTCACTGCCTCCTGGCCCCGTCCTATTCCTGGACTCTAGACAGAGTCAGGACGGTCAGCGTCCCACTCCTGAGGTGAGCAAATGGAGCCGCGGATGCACAGGAAGCCCCTAGTGCAGTGCGTGGTGCACAGCGCACACTCAGGGGGAAGCGGCCACTGTGGCCAGCATGGTTACATGTGGCCAATCTCAGGGCAGAAGCCTTGGGGAGCCCTGTCCTCCTGGTCATGCCCTAGCCCCAGGGCCTTGGGGGAGGGGCTGCAGCTCTGACCTGCAGGATCTGGGCAGATGGAGTGAGTGCAGCAAGTGGGGGGAGCCCCATATCCTAGCCTGAACCCTAACAGTCTTGTACCACGCAGGTCCCCACACTGCGGCTCCCCTCGCTACCCTGGGGCTTGAGTGAGATGGGCATATCCTAGGGCAGTGGTGGCAACCCCACGGCACATGAGCCGCAGCAGGCAGTTTGTTTTGGTTTTTGGTTTTTTTAATGTTTTGAGACAGAGCCAGGCAGCTCAGGCTGGCCTTGAACTTTTGATCCTCCTGCCTCAGGCTCTTGAACGCTGGGTTTAAGGGTACGCGCCATCCTGGCCAGCTTTTATGAAGCTTTTTAAAAAAACTACACATAATACACAAACTCTACAAACTGTTAAGGTAATGCAGTTAACTCACAGATAAAGATCCTTCCTAAAAGCTCAAAGCAGTTTCCTCTCCGGGTCTCCCTGTGACGGAGGATGCAGGACAACAGTGTCCTGCTCAAGCTGCAGCCCAGCATGGAGCTGGGGGCGTGGACTCCAGATGCACAGCCCCACAGCCTCAAAGGTGCCCTCAGCCCCCTCCCTTCCCGACACTGCCCACGCCACTCAGCCCGGAGGCCTAGAGACCCAGTCCGAAAGAGGCACCCCAGCCCACCTTACCCTGTGTCCACACTGGCATGCACAGCTGTCACCACGCCTTCCAGGACCTGGAGTGGGTCACGTGTCCCAGTGAGGTCTGCATCACCTCCACTGTGGAAAGAAAGAGGGACCCTGAGTCAGGACAGCAGCTTGGGCCTCAGAGGCACTCTGTGTGCTCACACCGCAGATGAACCAGCTGGAGCCTGGCCTGGTCTACACCGCCTGCTGTGGCCCCTTGTGTGGTATGCCAGGCCTGGAGGAGCTGCTGGAGTGTGGAATGGAGCTACATCTCTGCACCCGCAGGGAGCCCAGGCTTCCTGTCAGGAATGGCACAGCCTGCTTGCATGCGGTCATCAAAGCTGCTCACTCAGTATTAACCATTAAGCATGGAGATGGCATATCCTGACCATGCCAGTTGCACTCTCTTTTAAAAACCTATTTATTTGTGACTTACTAGGTATCAGGCGTATGTCCCTACAGCCCAGGGCCCAGGGCTACAATCATGCCCGAATCTAGCAGATTCCAGAAACAGAGAAGAGAAGGCGGAGGCCTTAAATGTGTGATGTATTTTATTTTTTTTAAGTGTGCGATTTAAAGCACTGCTGCTTCAGTGACGCCCCCGCCTGCATCACCCAGGGGTAAAGGTGGCCCCCATCCACAGCACTTTCTTTCCTCTGAGGAAAAGGCAGACGAGCTCTTCCAGTGCAGTCTCCTCCCTGCCGAGCACAGAACTTACCGGAGCAGCATCCAGTCTCTGCTGGACACGGGGTACAAGGAAGCACCAGCCATGCCACAAGTTCACAAACATGGAGATGCTACCAGGCCTATATGACTTGAATTATTCGTGACAAAAGCCAGTAGTTAGGAAATGAACTAAAACCATCAAAACTCTAAGGTTTGCTTCTGCAAACTTCACCTAAGGCCTGATTTAGAAACAGTAAAGATAACTACGCACTAACAGGTACAACAGGTGGCGGGCAAGTGTCTCATCACCTGCCACAGAGTGGCTCTCACAACAGCAACACAATATCAGATCAAGCCACTAACACAGCAAACGCTGGTGTTAGCTTGGTGCTGCTATTTCTCAACAATGCTGTCGTATTTTATGCCTGTCCCTGCATGTAAAATTACCAGCTACCTCAGAGCATGAAGGTGAAAAGTACGAAGTTAGGGTAACTAAGCTGAGAAAGGTCCATTTGATCTCAGTTTGGCTATAGGAAACTGACCTGCATCTAACCCCAAAGTTCCTCAAGAGCAACAAAGAATGACAAAGAATCTTAAAGGAGAATAATTTAAATACAGTGGAACTTTGCAGCCTAAATCGTGTTGCTCACAGAAAGCACTGATGCCTCATCACTTGCCAGCCTCAGTCCTCCTGTCCTAATCCCCTGGAGGCTTCCAGCAAAGGCTTTGGGGTGGATCTGCTGCCCTGTGGGACAGCCTACAGCCCTAACCTCCTCCCAGAGCCAGGGACCTTGCCCGGCGGGGGGCCGGGGGTGGTTGGTTCTGAAGGACCCTGGGCCCGCTTTTGCCTGCTCCCAGGAAGGGAACTGGAGAAGGCAATGGAGGTCCACCCCTGTTCCCCACAGCCCGTATTCCCTGTCTCACTGGCCGCGCCTTCCCTCCACCGGCCTCCCTGAGGAGGGAGAGGAGGCTGACCGAAGGGAGTCACTTCTCTCACAGAGCCCAGGACAGCCCAGGGCGGGACATCTCAGTTCTTCTTCAAGGTATTTTAAGACATACAGCCTTTGAGAACCCTAACACTAACCCTGTCAAGTACTTGACAACATCAAATGCTTCTCTATCCCTGACCTTGGTCTGGCATCCACATCAAGACGGGCAAACAGTACCTGAGCTTTTCCCTCTGTGGTTGTTTTAGAGCTTACCTCAATGCAGAAATTATTTTCTCAATGGCGCTTCGCACAACATCCTTGGGGCACACGTCCTGGGGGCCTACTGCCACCTCAAGCAGCTGCCGAATCATGGCCAGCGGCTGGCCGTCCAAACACATGCTCACAGCCAGGCTCCGCAGTGGCCCCTCTTCCGAGCGGGACAGGTCGTACAGCTCACGGTACCTCCGCAGGGCCTCCTGGAAGACACAGGGGCCAGCGCTGGACACCCAGTTGAGATACCCTGTGTGCACGTGTGTGTCCACTGGGCAACGTGTTTGGATCACCACACCACCCATGGCATGTCCAGGGTCATGGCAGGTTACCAGGGCACAGGCCCCGCCCAGGTGTGGGTGGGAATCCTCGCTTCCTGTGTTAGTACAGCGGGTCTCTGCTACGCATCTGTGGGACGTGGGTGAGGACAGGGGGACACATGAGGGGGCAGCACCGAGAGCACTGACAGACACGGTGATGAGCCAGAGGTCAGCCCTCTGGCACGGAGTCGGGAGGCACACTACTCGGGAAAGAGCAGTCCCACTGTTACTACTGCTGTACTGCAGCCACGTAACACAGTCTCCGCCCCAAACCAAGACCTCACCAGAAAACAAGCCCTAGTGTGATTATTTAGGATGCTCATAATATAAGCCCTACCCTAAAAATACCAGTTAAAGTCGCCAGCCAGACAGCTGCACTCAGCATGTCTGCTGCAAGATACAACAGACATACTGAATTATAAAATAACAATGTTAACACGTAATTAAATATTACTGACACTGAAATAAAACTGCTATCAAATTCTCAAGTTCTCCCCACGGTTTTCGTAATAAAAGGGCTTCGGTGAGTCTCCTACAAATTGAAGTTTAAATGGCAGACTTTTCATGTCACTAAGCGTGGTTCCTGTTCATATGAAAACGACTCATTTGTCAACTTTCCAGTTATGGAGAGGAGTATCTACACTGCAGCAGCTGCTAAGACACAGAACGAAATCCGTGGTTCCATAGCAGGATCCCAAGGCCACAGCATCTGCGGGTGCTGGAGCCTTGGCCAGAAAGGAAGCAGGGACAGAAAACCACCTCAACAATGCGTTCACAGGAGATGGGCACTGATGCAATGGGCAGGGAGTGCGCTGCTTTTGGGAAACTCTGGCAGCGGGCACAGGAGGCTATTTCTGAACTTGTAGAAATTACAGAGGAACAGCTGCAAAGCAAAACATCCAGCAGTACAAGAGCTTAAAAACCACGTCTTAGAATTTCTTAACTTTACTATTATTATTTTTGTTTTGTTTTTTGAGACAGGGTCTCGCTATGTAGTCCAGGTTGGCCTTGAACTCATGCGATCCTCCTGTCTCAGCCTCTAGAGTATTGGGATCTACCCGGCACATCTCTTCACTTTGTTGCCTGGGTAGCATCTGCCCTAAGCACCCAAAACTCCTTTGGAAAGAATTAAAAGTAAACTACCAAGTGAAAATGAAGAGGTTAAAGGACAGAGGCTGCCTGCAGTTTTCATGAATCTTTGTACATTCGAAAACCCCATCAAAATTGCTACTGGGATCTTGAATGCCTGCAAAGACCTGGGTGTTGGGCCAGGTGGCCAGTGGCAGAGTGCTTATCCCCATGTACCAGGCCCACGCTGACCCAGACCACATAAATGAGGGAAGGGTCTGAGAGGTATGGCCCACGGGGTGGTGCTGTGGGCCTCATCTGCTAAGGGTCTGAGGGCACATCCCTTCTTACCTGCTCGCTGTCCTTCAGAGAGAGGACGAAGCTGTGGCCCAGTGTCCCCAGGTGAGCGAGTGACTTCTGCAGGTGATTCAGAGCATCGGCGTAGGTGACCTCGGAGGCCCCGGCTGCCTGAGCATCTTCTGAATTCCTTTTCTGTGGTTTCTCCATTAAGCGTGTGATGGTGGCAATGGCCTTCCTGGTCATCTCTTCACGCACATCCACGGACAGCTGCAACAGTGAGAGCAGTTACCATGGGGGACAAAGCGGCCCTGCCCACCACACGGCACACACGGGAGGGCTCCGCACCCACAACTCGGCCAAGCAGAGTCCCACCCCTGGGAGAGCGTGACTGGTGGTGTTCCGTGAAGAAAAGAAAAGCAGTGAGGAACTGTTTGCACTACTACATCAGACACACAGGCTTCTCAAATGGTCACTCTTGAAGCAGGTAGTGCTGGGACTATAAAACCACTAATCCCTCTGACGGCCAGTTACACCAAAGAGTTCTTACAATCATAATTTCTAACTGATCATTTCATGAAATAATCCAAAAGAAATACATGCACAAAGATCTTGACAAGAATAAAACTATCAAAAACTTCAAAAGCACTCTAATTGACAAGAGAAATAGTATCTTGCTTCTGCTCAATTATTGGAAAGTATGTTATACAGTCATTAAAACTGAATTCTAAAATCCACATAGCAACTCTGGAAAATGCTTATCATAAAACTTTAGAAATCTGAATATAAAACTGTCTCTAGCATACTAACATTAAAATTTAAATGATATAAAAGATGTATGTATTCTATGTAGCCTTTATGTATACACATATATATACTAGATATATGTATACATACAAAATGTATGTATATAGCCATTTTATATGTATATAAAAATTTAAATTCATGAATACTAAGATGTTGGGGTTATAAGCTATTTTTTTCTTTTCCACTTTTCAAGGTTTCTGTGACAACGTTGTGTTCACTCATTTCTCCAATGGTATGTGCCAGGCATGGTGTCAGCTATGCAGAGGTTCTAGTTTTGTACTAATATTGAAAACACGAAGCCCATTTATTGTCAACAGTACAAAGCGAAATTTCTATGCTGCCTGATTGGGCAAAGGAGCTAGAATCATCAGCGATCCGGGTGCCCTCCACGGCCCCGTTGATTTGTGCCACTTTCAAGTTTCCGTTTGGCTTCCTGTCAGCTATGAAGCACACTGTCACTCTACCTTCAAAAGGACTTCCGGGGAAAAATAAAATCAGAGCTGGGTATGGGCGGTGCACGCCAGTAATCCCAGCACCCAGGTGGCTGAGGGAGGAGGACTGCAACAAGTTCAAGGCCAATCTGGGCCATGGAGTGAGCTGAAGGCCCATAGACAGACTCTGTCTCAAAAAATAATTTTCTTTTTGTGTTTCTTCACCTTTTTATCTTTAAAAAAATTTTCCCATCCCCCTACCCTCCCTTCCAACCCCCCTCCTGTCCCCATAAAATTTATATTTATAAATTTATAAAAAGCTTTGTTTCCATTTTTCCCTTTTCTCTTTTTATTTTTCCCTTCTTTCCTTTCCCCTGCCCGCTCCCATTCCCCTTCCCATTTGAACATTTTTTCCTAATTCATGATATCTATTATACATTCAAAATAAAATTGAAAAATATAAACCATAAAAGATCTATAACAAAAACGTTAATTTTCCCTACTATTTCTTACAACCTGTCATCATATGACACTGAGAATTAGGCATAGGCTTTGAATGCATGATGCCAGAGGCTTCACAGGGGCCCTCCACTTCCTGTCACTACCTCCAGTCGCTCTATCTGGAATTATTACTTTCCAACTGGCAGCTAATGTGCTTCAGCCCTAACATACTGATGCAGGTATCCTTAAGGAAGCTTTTTCCATGGAGTTATAGCTGAATCCTTGCTTGCAGATGCAGCTTTAAAAGAAGTTGTACAGCCTGCGCCCGTCAGTCAATCCCTACAGCTCTGGCAGCCAAGGCTGCAGCAGGAGCAGAAGCCTCCCCTGAGGCAAGGGCTAGGACCTTGAGCTCCTTCCTGGGCTTTAGGGTTATTTGATTTATTGATTTATTTATGACAGGGTCTCACTATGTAGCCCAGGCTGACCTTGAACTCCCTAAGTTCCTCCTGACTCAGCCTCCCCAATGCTGGGATCACAGGCCACTACACCCTACGCTTGTGGTTTAGAAACATGCGATAATACAAGTGTGTTTAGTTCATACATAGTGTGTCAGGAAACCCTGAGCTCCAGGAAGGTAGGAGAGGAGGCTCGCACTGGAACCTGCCACCCGCTCCAGCCTCCTCCTGTCCCTGCACCCTCCAGCCTGGGGCTGGGCTCCTGGCAGTGTGTGTGCTGCCTGCCGTGGAGTGACAGTGAGATCAAGGCCGAGTGAGAATTAATGCAATGGAGCCAATCTTTGTATGTATGGAGAGCGGAACTATCTGGATATCCTAGTTGCCCAATTTTCTTCCTGTCTTACTGTACGGTGTGGAAAAATTTCACCACAAACTGGCAAGACAGTAGGCTGGGGCAGCTGACTCCCCCACGCAATAGTGGAGATCTTTACTTCCAAGGCCCGACTGCCACTGAAAACCTGGTCTCATCTTTGCTGCCTGTGATTGGATCTTTACCACCTTGTAACGTGCTTAAACCTTAGTTTCCTCATCAGCAAAAATGCGCAAAGGGCCATCTATTGCCTAATATCATGTTGAGAATTTAAATGAGATGAAATCAAAATGATCAGCATAGTACCTCGCTCATAGTAAGTGCTCAGTGCCCCTGGTGAGACACACTGGCCATTCTCCAGGGTCAGGGCTCCATCTGACAGATGATCCTCTGGCTACTGCTGCCTGCTATCTGCTGCCATCAGGAGGCAGGGCCTGTGGGAGGGGCAGTCCCAAGGCACAGCCAGAGGATTTCTGTGTCCCAGGCTCCTCCCTTCTCTTGTCACTTCCTGTCTGCCTAGACAAGACAATCTCCCCTCAGGCGCTTCCTGCCCAGGAGCCACGGACCATGGACTGAGCCATGAGCCACCACAAACCTCTCCTCCTTTAAGTTGTAGGTCTTGGGTATTTGGTCCCAGCCACGAGGAAGTAGCTCAGACACCACTGACTGGGTTTTGATGTTGTTCTTTTAATGCTTCTAGTGAGTTTATCATTGAATTCTGTTTCAGGAAAACCTTTTCTCTGAGCTCCTTACATTGCTCAGCATGGAACCCAAGGACTTTCATGGAACCCAAGGCTCCTAGCAGCTCTGCGTCATTTCCAGGCCTCTGTGTGTGGCTGCAGTCTTCAGGAAACGCTTGTGTCCCCCACCTAGCAAGGCCAATTCCTGATCATGGTTCAGTATGCAAGCCAGGGCACTGACCCAGCCTCAGATTCCCAACAGGAGCCAGGTGAGAACGTCTCCTGACTTTCAGCTCACATGTATGGCTTCAGTCCCTCCTCATGGCCGAGCCTGGCCCTCAGGCCAATGCTTGCAGGCTCTTACTGAATCAGGAGAAGGAGGAACAGTGACCCTCTGTTCTTTTGAGCCGCTGTGTACTGAGCATACTCTGATATACAATAGATGCTAAGAATAAAGTAACAGGTGGCTTTGAAAAACAGACATTGAAAAACCAGGAATCTATGTTACACTATAAAGAAATATTTAATAAAACTGCTGTTTAAAAGTCAGACTTGTATCTAGATGTCCCCCTAAAGCCTCATGAACTTATAGGTGGGGTTTTCTGAGATGGCTGGATCTAGGGTGTGTGAATATGCGTTAAGGGTGTGGTAACTAAATTAGCACACTGATTGGTTTAGCAGTTCTGTGTGTGGATGATGGATGCACCACTCCAGGTGTGGATGGCACCAACTAATAGACATGCAGCCTAGATGACATGAGGGAAAGGGAGAGAGCTGCTGGCTGCTTCCTTCCTGCCCTGCCATTGACTGTTTCTCTGCAATGCCCCGTATGCCATGCCACTCTGCCTTGGAGCCAGTTGACAATGGACTGAAACCTCTTGGACTGTGAGCTAAAATAAACCTATCCTCCTTTAATTTATGGGTGTTGGGTATTTAGTCCCAGCAACAAAAGAGTAACTAAGACACCCATGTACGTGTGGCTCTAGAGAGGTTGGAAACTGAACATCAGTCATGTTGCTGTGTTACAGAATGTGGTGGTTAACTGTCAAAAAAAAAGAGTTTAAGAAAACAATGTCTGGATTGTACGAGTGAAACACATAGAGGAGTAGCACAAAAATCCAGGGCCTTACATGGCTAAAAATTTATTAAAATCCTAGAACTCTGTAATAAAAGATAAGATTGAGGAGTTCACAGATAATGAACAGCAGGTAAAACCTTTAGAAGAGTGACGTGCTCTCGGGGAAAGATACACCAAGGGTGTGACCTCATAAATTCTCTCAAGTGGACAAAATGGCTCAGAGCACAGATGCAATTAATGATGCTAACCTCCACAAAAAGCCAATAGCTTTAAGGGTGCTGCCTTTAAATTGAGAGAGATGTATGGGGTGATACATCAAAGACATAGTGTCCAAGAGAGCTAAGCAAACAAAAAGACCCTGAGGATGTGGTTCTGGGCCTATGCTGCCAAAAGGTATCAAATGTAGAAGAGCTCTACCAAATTTTATACAATGTTAGCCAAAAGCAGCAAGCTTCAGCTTCCTGTGACTGTTTGAAATTTAACTACCGGAGGAGCAGCCAGGAGCCCTCACAGAGGGCTCTGGCTGGCTTCACTCCCTTGCTGCCAGGAAGAAAGGGGCACAGCCTGAGGACAGGGCTGTTGGAAAGAAGCAGGGTCACGACCTGATTACGGGACCACATCCCCTCCTATGCCCTGCTTCCTAACCACGGAGAAAAGCTGGACCAGGGGCCTGCGACTGCGACTGTGACAGGAATGCCATGCCTCCTCTGGGCTGAGGCAATCAGTCACCCCCAATTTCCAGCCTTCCTCTTCCTCCGGGGGTGCCGAGAACGCGCCAGGGTAAGTTCACCCAGGGGGAGGCTTGACCAGGCTAGGCTGCCCTGACTCTGGGTTAGCTGGTTACTCCAGCTCTACCTGCTAGCACTGGGGTGTTCTGTGAACACAGATCCTATCAAGCCATTCCACAGCTCAGACCTACGAAGTAGGTCCTCAAGGTGAGGAGAGTAAAGCCCAGCCTGCCCTGCCTGAGCACCCTGTCTGGCTGGCATTGCCCACACCTCTGTCTGC